CAAACAACGCTAAAAGACTACGACCTAAAATTGAAATGTCTTATTCTTTTCCTTTTCCCACTCAAGTTTCATACTGAAACATAAGGTTTTAACTGAAGGGTTTGGTTTCTTATCAATACTCAAGCCATACTCTCTCTGCAATGACATTTCAAAGATCAAGCACATATACACAAAATGGTTTTCACTAGTTCGGGGGGTTTTTTTTTTAGGATATTAAGTTGGATAAATATAAAAATATATTTACAACTCAGATGTATTATTTGACAACATACTGATTTTCTGCATGAAAGTCTGATTCTTATTTGTTAAAAGGAAACACTGGACATCAAAACCTCCTTCAAAGTGTGATGTGACTGCCATTAAAGATTCGTACATATATGATACACATGAACTTTATAAATAATTCCCATTCAGTACCAGTAAAGTCTTCAACACAGCTTTCCCTCACAAAACAGCAGCACACACGCACACATGAATTTCGTCCTGCACACAAGCCATGTCCAAAGCTTACACAGCTTTTTCTAACATAAGCTAAGACACAGTGATACCTAATGCCACTTTTGCTTTTCTACTGATCATTGTATAAGGCCCATTGCCGGACACAGATGCCACTGGAAACACAGACAACCACACTGGTTCAGTTATGGTTACAGGTGCCATTTATGTGGAAATAGGCTGCTGATTATCACAAACCTTACTCTCATTACAGGGCTTCTGAAACACGAAACCACATTGTCCAGGCTATGAAAAAGAAATCAAGCTGTGAAGAGCAGATACGGGGAGAAAGACCTGGTTTTCCACGAATTAGCTCTTAAAGATCATTTCTATACTGCAAACAAACATTGCACATTTGTCTTGCTGGTTCATGAATTTCAATAGCACATAATATGTTTTTTCTTGTTTACTTGCTAGATTTCCTAATATTATCCATAGAAAAATGCTACAGATCTTCAGGCTGTATTCATTTCCTTGATCAAGACAATGATTAACCATTATATAGAAGTGTAGAGACCACCCCCTCAAATTCTGTTCATGCAAGAAATCCTGTAACGTTTGATAGTTGCAATGACAGAGGACGGACTGAGCAAAGATCACAGAAATACGCTTTATACAGAAGTATCATTTAAAATCAAGGTACTACATAACAAAGTTGTTATAGAAACAGCTGGAAAACAAAGTCAATGCAGAATCCCCACCCCTTTTAACGATTTGCACAGTTCCACTCAAACACGACGCAAATAGAAACCCACCGATGCAAATCTCTCAGTTTGGCACAGGATGATATACCGAGAAAACATTATTGTCCTTATCATGGCTTACAATTTCACTGCTTCAGTCAAAACTTCTTCATGTTATTAGATTCTTTTATAAAATTATCATTTAAAGCAATGAAAAACACTCCTTAAGTAGCATGAGTTAGGGCAATGACTACTGAATCATGGCTTTTTGAAAACACACACAGACACACTCACACCTGACTAACTTTTGGTATTCAAGCATCTCAAGACCTTTAGTTGCAGTAACATCCCACTGTGTCTTGCACCCTAGGAAATACTGCTGATGGGGTCGCAAAGGAAAGAAACACAGCCGTGTCTTCCTTGAACATCACTGAGATTAAAATAAAAAATAACGTTGCCTAAATATTACAGAAGCCTACAATCTTGGCTGCAACCACTTTAAAATGTCTGCATGTACTGCAGTTAAAAATATTATGTACTTTGAACTGTTCCCTGTGAAAATAACTACCTTCCTCCCTGACTCCAAAACTAGGCAAAGCTGCTCTCCCACCTTTAGGACATAATCACCAAGAAGCCTTTTTTTTTCCTCTAGTGTACATATTTATGCTTTTTTTTGAGGTATTTGTACTTAAATTGGACTTTTTCCTCTATATTCAAGATATTTTTTCTCTGTTCCTGATCCGTAGTACCAAAATCATTTCTGTAATGGAAGAGCAACCACTACTTTCCCTCTATATTCAAGGTATTTTTTTTCTGTTCCTGATCCATAGTACCAAAACCATTTCTGTAATGGAAGAGCAACCACTACTTTGGTCTTCTCTGCAAGGATTACTTCTATCAGATTTTTTTAAATACACGTGTCTACCAATAAGGACCTTTTAAGCTGAGCTTTGATGATTCTCAAGCTGCCAACCACAGCAGTAACTAAGACAACATCAACTGGTAGAGACAAGGAAACAACCGGTTTTTAGTTCTAAACTTGACAATGACAAAACGGGATGTCCGAGATGCAATGGCAGTTCTAGAAGCAGTCTCCATTAGCATGGATGTGATAATTTACAATTGAGACCTAAAGATTAAAGACTGAGAGCAAAAATCTCACCTATGATTAAAAGCATTAAAATATCACTCATTCTCGAGGTTAAAACCACTACCAGTCTCTTGTTCCTTCATTAACTCTCACGAGTTCCATAAGTACAGCTTTAAAGAGTAATAAAATTACTTCACTGGATTCATTTATGCCTCCTGAATATGCAAACAGCAAATAAAAACCTCACTCTTGATATACAGATGTTTTATCTTTTTACAGCAGTTACTGTGATTTGTAAAGCAGACACAGATTCACAGATGTATATATATTTAAATGTGTGTTCAACCCTCCTGACACCACAGAATTTGTAGAGAATGTGAAGAAGCACTTTACAGTAAAAATGATACCTTCTGGTATATCGTGCAGGATGTCAATACTGATCACGAAGAAGTAGCTTTATTTATAGCTGAAGAAAATGCAAAGAATTTTGAAATGCTCTCTATAACATTTGTATGTTGCATTGGATTTTGACATCATCTATATCCACGGTGACTGTAAGTTTAACTCATTAAGGACACAATTCATTTCCAAGTACAGATAATGGAAATCTTTTACAGACCTCAACATGCTTTGGATTCAATCCTACATTAGGGTCAGATCACTTCTAGTCACTCCATTTGACCCTGAGAGTCATTTGAAAGGGACCAAAGATGTGAAACTGATATTAAAATCTGATATTGTAAATCAGAGCAAATACTACGGTCTTATGGCTTCACTGAATGTAATTTCTTACAGCAGTATAAAGTTTATGCATACTATCATATTTACTTCAGAAGATACTGACAAAACCATTTAAAAATATTTTATAAAATCTATTCAATTTAGTACTTTGCTGCAAATATATTTTCAGCTTGGACAAAGTGTTAAACATGAGTAAAATCAGAAAACCTCCCCTTCAAAAGGACAAGCCAGTCACTTAGGCAAAACCAACGTACTATGTAAAGAAGAAAATCTCCTTAGCCTTCATTTCCATGTGTGTTATATTGCCATGTTGACATAGGAGGTATGATAGATACCAACAAAGTAAACGATATGTCACATCCTACTCGTACATTTTATACGTAAGACGCAAGCACATCAACCAGAAGTGTAAATAAGAGCTCGGTGAAACAGCATTGCTTTACAGATGTTCACAGTACCCACAGCTTTGTAAACCTTGAGTAGCTTTAGCCTGCTGATCAACTTCTATTTTTTCTTTCCTCTTCTGTATACATCCCATCTCTACTTATTTTCATGGTTTTACATTCATTTCCAATGTCTTTAACAAAATATAAACTGGCATTTTATTCTCAATGTAACAGTTATCAAGAACAGCAGAAAGATAACAGATGAATATCCAAAGGAAAGCCAACTTAAAATCAAATGAAAAGCTGATTCATCATTATATATTGTACCAAGTTCTGAAATTGCAGAAGAAACAGGAAAGAAATTTGAAATTCAGTATATATTGCATTTCTCTAAAAAGCTCTCAACTTACTAATATGCAGAAATAGAAGCTGCAAATGTAGTTTGTGACTAGTTTATAATCCAGAGGATGCTAGATTGACTGCAAAACAATATGAGAGGATTCGAATGTAAAGTTTAAAATGAGTAAAACTCACTCATATTAGAATATTAACCACTCAGAATAAACACATGTATAAAACAAGAATACATTTGTATATGTTCTAATTGAAGGTGTAGCTGCCATCACAGGTCAAAGCCATAAAATTAATGTAAGCTGATTTCATGTTAATGTAAACCATCAGACAAAAAAACCCCTGTGGTAATCTATCATGATAAGAAGGTCATTGTCAGCAACATTATCTATTAAAGAAAGCGGTTTTCCAACAGTTCTATAAAGCACTACAGAATTCATCATTGGAAGCATTTCTTTAATTTCCACACAGAATAAAACCTTGTGGTACGTGGCAATCTTGGTTGTTGCTTGTAGTCAATGAGAAAACAGGCTTTTTAAACACAGAATAAAACCTGAATGTGCAAATATTGTCCATTGTGCCATTTCATTCTACCATAATAGCTCATACTCTGTGTGCAATATGTTGCTAGAAAAGGAAACAGCAATATTCACACTTATTTGACATTAGGATGTAAAAAACCATCTTCCACAACCACCAGGTCTACATGACTGTTTCAGAAAAGAGCAGCATTCTTTGCCTGATTAGTTAATCCTTAAGACAGACAGGTGTGATGACCTGTGCTCTCACATTTCCCATGGTGATTATTTTCGTTCTTTAATCACTGAACTATGAACTCAAGAAGTAAAACAGATTTGTGATATTTATTATCAATCCATATTAACCATGCACAACAACAAATATAAACCGCAAAGTAAGAAATGAGCAAGGCTGTCAAAAAGATGTCAAAACTTTTGCCCCCAGTTTCTTTAGTTGAATACAAACTAGATATGTGTTGGAAACTACCATGACTCTGATAGAAATTTTAAAGTAGACATAAAAGGGTACTAGAAAATTAAGGCAATTAAACCATGTGTCATAACCCACCAGTCAAACTCTACTGGATTTCCCAAACTACAAATATGCTTTCATTCTCTTCTATTGCTTTATTGGTAGAATTATAGCATTGAACACATAGTTATAAAAGTAGACTTTAAGTAATAAAAAGGTAAGAAATCAAAAAGTTTGAGCCATCATAAGCTCATTATTTGATACCTTGCTCTATACTGCCACTTCTTACTGGAACTTGCGGGAGCTGCCTTCCCCTGCGACTGCTGAAGGATGTGTCTGCAGGAGGAGACTGTGTGGGACTTCCTTGTTGATGTATTCTGCAAAGGAAATGAAGACAAAGGTGAAATAACCCCAGTGAAGAGAGTTTTTCTATTCTGAATTTTAAACACATATTAAGTTGCGTATTCTGAAGATGAGTTTGCATTTGGTGTATGCCATATGCACATACTCAGGTCTGGATACCTAGTTAACTTGTAAGGCCTCATGTTTAATTTCTCTAACTACCTTCAACTAAGGAGAAATATTTTTCTTTGTCTTGTTGTTGGTTTGTTTTTTAATAAAGTACTAGTGAAAAACCACTGAACGAAAGGCAGTTTTCTAAGAACCATTTATGATTATGACTCACAATTTAGGTATGTTCCGCACTGGTGTAAGGGCAATATAAAATGCAACCTTTATATTTTATTAACTTTTGTATTCTCTTTGTGCTGATGTGACAATTGCACAAGACCACAGAGAAGTGGACAGCAGTATCTACTCCCATGGCATGTGCTGTTTTTCCCTGAACTCAAAGATGGAAAAACCCTTTAAGCTTGGTATTGGGAGGGTGAATATGTGTGTGCGCTCAGGATCAATGTACAAGATTTTAAATATTCTTACCTAAGTAAATATCCTAAATCCCTTTGGCTGAATTCTAGCTAGAACTATGTAAGAGCACCTTGGCTACTTGATTTCTTATACATAGATAACAGCATCTGAGTATCACCTATCAAACACCTCTGGAACCTGGTAAGTTTGTATTTAAAATTAGCAGGGCCACCTCTAATCACTAGGGGAAAAGTTTAAAAAAAGTAAAATAAAGAAGAGAAGAAGCAGATTGCTGAGAGGGAGAACTTACTATTCAATACCCTTGCCAGTTATAGTGTATCATACTTACTATAGTGTATAAGCATTGTTTATCTACTTGCAGTCTACTAGAGTGGTAGGCTACGCTAGACTACCCTCTACTACACTAAGGCTGCAAGTAGCTAATTTGCAATTTTAAGTAGCACGTTTGTGGGTGTTCAAAACACCGTTGGCCTTCACGCTATGTCGATCAACTGACTTTCTCTTAGCCTGTAAGATGAGAGTTTGCTGTGTGAACAGCACGTGATTTCCTGCACAGCGTTTAAGCAAAATACGTTGATAGTTTTCATATGGATACAGAACAAAACACAACAATGGAAGGATGAAACACACCCAATTTTTCACTCTTACACTGCATAACTATTTGAGTTCAACAGCAAGAAGTACCATCTGGATGGTAAAGATAGGTGGTGTAAAGGATGTGGGAGAAGTGTCAATACCATGAAGAGAGGATAATCTACAGTGCCAGAATGAGTGAACGTGCCACGTATGCTCAGGAAAGTACAGCACCACACTGACACCCAGGAGGCAGTACATGAAAGCCGTGTTGGACATGAAATAGCAACCTTGTCAGAAGTGGAGAAGGTGGCGCCGACCCTCCGGGCGCTAGGTGATGTACAGGGCATAAGGGTCTGACACTAGAGTGCTCGCTCGACCTGGAGCGAGCGTGGTGTTTTCCCCTAATGACTGGCTGCTCAGCTGTTCGTGGGGTTGGAAGTCCCCTTCTAGAAAGACATGGTGGCAGACCCCTAAAACACCAGGGCCAAAAAGAAACTGTTCAGTTGTTAGCTCCAGGCACACCTTCCCATGCCCCCCTCCACCGAAGAACAGCGCAAATCCTGGCGGCGGGACCAGGATTGACATTTCAGGTCAAAGCTATTAATTCTTGAAAAGAATTAATAAGTAAAATCCATTTTCAAAATGACGAACTGCAGATCACTCACCACTGCAGATACACATGACCCTAACTATGGGACTGCCGAACTGCACTGCATATAGGGGACAGTTGGCCAAAAACTCCAGCTGCATCTCAAACACAGCAAACACAAGCTAACAACACGTACAACATAAGTACTAGCACAGAGTAGACTATGAGCACCTAGTTTTACCACAAAGCATTTCTGTTTCTAAAACATACCTTTAATATTTATTAAATATATTAACTGGTTTTCAATTAGTGTTCTAAAAAAGGATGATAATGTAAGCACATACGTAATTCCCTTGGTTTCCTTAGGAGATTGAAATGAGGAATTTATTTAAGTGTCTTTCTACTCTAAGCCCTAAACCAGAAACACAGTTCTGAAGGAACACTAATGAAAATATAATGACAATATGAAGTATAATGATTAATCGTGTTAGTATAATAAAGAATAATTATTAGTAGTTTAATAGTTGCATATACTGCAAGTATACGATAACCTGAAACACCTCAAGTTTGGAGAGTGACAAAGTACTTCAACTGTGTCTTCTTACTCTTCCTTAGTTTCCCAACAGTGCAGCATTTTGAAAATGGTATTACTGTATCTGCTGTTATTTCCATTTCCTATGACATGATTTCATTGTGTTTCGTTTTGGTTTTTAAATTTCTGCAGACTTTTGAAGCCTCCTTTCACACCCCCAGCACAACTTTCCCACGGGATACACTCAAAGCAACCAAGGGACTGTCTAGTTCATATGACTATCATACACCAAAACATCATCCTAAAAATAAAGTACATACGAGAAAACACACAGATGTCTACCAAGGATAACAAATAGGTTTGGTTTCAAAGCCATTTCATCAGTAAGAGGTTATGTGGAAGTCCTGTCACAACAAAACTAAACCAGAATTCTGTTGCACTTGCTATATTCCCTCTCTTAAACCCTAACACTTCCTTAGCTTAGCTCCTGGCTTGCCGTGGTGATAACCATAATGTTCCTGCATAGACGGCTTCCCCTGATTTTATAAGATGCTTACCCTAAGGAAAATGAGCTGAAAACACCTGTTTCTCCATGACAACTACTGCATGCAACCAGCTTTTACACATCTGTTTTATCAGATGTGTAAACATCATAACATCTATCAGATAAATATGTATCTCACTGTGCTTGCCTGCTTTTACTATGAATGAATGCTCCAATCTAACAAAGTCATCATGTTCCGAGTTCTGATTTTTCTCATTTTAGAGGGTAAATGCCCTGGAATTTATCTATTTGAGAGCCCTGTCAAGTACTAGGAGAGTCTGTCCTGCCATTAGAGGACATTTTACCTGAGACTCAGGAACTTACCTCTTTTTTAATTACTTTCAGTAATACCCTCTTTACAGATCTGTCCCCTTCCACAAGAGAAAGACAGAGGATCTGCTTAACTAAAATGAAACTTGCATTAGCTGGGGTATTACATTGAGACAAATACACTACTTGGGGTTCAAAAGAAAATACAGCTAACAGGGAACTGGAGAAAAACTAAAAGGTACTTAAGGAGTCACTGGCCTAGGAGAAAGATCATTTGCTGAAAGAAGTCTGCAAGTGGCTGAGCAGGAGAATGAGAGAAAAAGGAACAAGCATGGGAGACAAAGCTAGTGTATGACTGAGGAAATGAGATATAAGTGAGACAAGAAGTATGGAGACGAGAGGAATTTGGGAGAGAAATGATACCTGGTGAGCAATGAGACTGCAATTCACATGTCTGCACACAAGAAAACTCAAATTCCTTTCTCTTCAGACTGATGCTTCACATATTAAATAAAACATGCTGCCACTTATGGGGCTATAAAGAAAAACTAAGAACAAGAGAGCATCGCCAATCCAGTGCACATCTGGCACAGGGTCCTATGTAGAACAGAGCAAGTACAATTCAAGACTGGATGTGTCATAACATATATAAAAGGTAACCTCAAATCTGGCATTTCTGGGGTGATCAGTCAGGGCTGAAAGAAAACATTTTAGGATTGGGATGAATCATTATTTTACCACAGTTTTGCTCATTCATACAAGCACTGAAAAAGTTTCATTTTCATGTAATCAGGTTTACTCCTTCAGATGAGTTTACTGAATCCCATCTTGCTTATCGCACTGAATGAAGAGAACTCTTAGGCTCTAAACTATCCTGAAAAGGTTGGCTTTTCCCCTTTTATGTACATTTCCTAAGCTATCACAATACACAGATAACTTAATTTTAAACAGCATGTTGAAAGGCTTTATAAAGAAGCCGATAGCACGCTGATATCTTGTTCCAGTAATCTGCTTAGCTGACAAATTGCAAATTGCAAAGTAAAAACCAAATCTAAGACAGAAATGGACAGCTGAGGAAAAAACAGCCCTGAGTTATACTTGCTATTTGACAGGAAAACGAATTGCCTGTCCTGTTATCAAAACTTTCTGGCGCTAGTGCAAATTATACCTATGATATACTAAACTACAGCACTCAGACTTCAGACATTTGTGTCTCACATCTAATAGCAGTGAAACATTTTATGGAAACAGAAGCCTACACCGTGTGCTACGGAGATGTGAAAAGCAGCAGCACAACTTATGTTTCCCTATGCTCTTGCTGCACTGAGGTCATCATCAGAAATCAGAGCTGGCTTGTCTCTTCTGGAAAGTAAAGATGTAGCTGCAAGGCCTCACACTTCTGGAAACTTCACTTAGCTTCAGGGGGAAAAAAACCACCAGATGTTTTTGGGTTTGTTTATTTTTGGTGGATTTTGTTTTGATTTCCTAATCACCTGTTGAAAGTAATTTCACATTGCTTAAAAAAAACCCACAAAACCCTTCCAAAACCAACACCACCCTCCCTTCCTGCCCCAAACAGTAGCATTACACAGTGATGACAATCAAGACGTGGGAACGTATCAATGCCAAATTTATCTTAGCACTGCAATGATTAATAACTTTCAAACCGTTAAACCTCAAAAATTCTGTATATAGACACTGCAGAAATATTTCACAGCGGCCTTCAGACTCATGCTTTCTCATATACATGAGTAAATCATCAATCACATGTTATAATTATGAGAAGCTTTGAAATGTCCAGGAAAAAAAAATATCTCAAAATTTCAGACCTGGGATGGTCATTTCAAACAGAAAAACACATTGTAAAAATAATTATTACTGTAAACAAGATTTAGTGAGGTATGTGGTTTTGATCTATGCAGTGATCTTAACACCGGGAGGAGAAAGATGCCCCCAGCTCACACCAAGTGAAATATCAGGTTTGAAGTGTACCATACTTTATAGTTATGTTTATATTCCCATTTTTCCCCTCCTATTTACTTCATACGTATCTCTTTCCCACCTTATTTTCCTTTTTAGCCTTGTTCCAAGCTTTCTAACCCTATATTCTGAATGGTTATCAAGAACCATGAGTCCAAGTGGCTCCCCTTATGCTTCAGAAATCAGAAAAAAACCCATGGAAAAAATGTCTTTAGTGATTTCAGTGGCAAAACTGTCCCTCGTTTAAACACTGCAAAGATTTCAGCCATCATTTAGGTAAAAAAAAGCAACTGGGCTGTTGTGGCAACAGAATCATCAAACCCATGAAAAATGTAACCATTGATTTTGGACCAGGAACAACAGTCTGGGACTTGAAGCAGTAAAATAAAGTAAAAGCTCTTGCTACGTAATGATAATTTTAATTAAAAATAAAAATATGTCTGTGTTGTTCATGGAAGTTTTTCTGCCGTCGCAGTTCCACACAGACGTACGTTGCTCCTCTGGTGATCAAGATCACATAAATCGGTTTCTGACAAAGGCAGGATCTCACCCCTACTCACTGCTCTTATTCCAAGCAATACACAAGGATTAAAACTCAATTATACATATTTATGATTTAGTAGATGTCCTCATTTTTTTCACTTTTTCTCAAGAACTTGAATACATAAACTTATACTTGAGTAGCATCAAAGCTAGAAGTTACAATAATAATACAAGTACAGGAAAATTCAATTAATACAAAGGTTAAAGTCTCAGTATTTATACTAACAATGTAATGATTATAAATTTTTCTATACATAAGTAAATGTGTAACTTCACATTTTTATATAATAAAGTGAAATTGATTTGATCAGAGATATCTTAAATTATTAATCTGTTAATATATATTTTTCATCCTCAAAATTAATCTAAAATAGATGAGGCTTTTTGAAAAAAGAGCAGTGGTAAAGCGCAGAAAACTTTGAGTCCATACGAATGAAATATGCTACGTATTTCCCAATTTCATCTTACAGAGATCAAGATGGGGTCTCAGATTTTGGCTCATAAAATGGATGTACTGCTGGTCTTTACCATTGAGCTTATCTGCAACGATGAATGCCAGAAAAATTCTGTATGTATGCAACACAGCCAATAATACAGGTACTGCAACACAGTGCTAATAATCTAGATATAAAGTAAATAATATTGTACATTACAACAACATAGCTTTTGGTACTGCCATGGATGTTTCAAAGTCGTATTGGAGGTATATTCCAAAAACAGGAGTCAGATTGATTTTAAGAGGCGTGTACTCATCGAGCAGCAATCCTACCTTTCTGTTTCAGCTGCGGAGCCTTTCCTAGTTTGCTTATGGCTGCTATATCTTTCCACTTTTCTGGACTGCCTGTGAAATGACATGTCAGAAAAGAAATAAACAGAGAAGAAAAAGAACACAAAAAATATGAAGATTATATTGTTAATAATGTATTGCAAAGGTAATAACAGAAATGGTTGACAGATGACAAAGTGACAACTATTGCCATGAAGTGGAGGTTTAAGACATGTGGCCCTGATTAGGCTGGATTGAGGGTGATGGTTATGAGCTACCAAAACAGGGGAGACAACATTAATCCTGGTTGAATGTGCAGTTAATTGTATTAGATTAGACACAAAGCCTCCTCATGGGCCTTTTAGTCCTCTCTTGACAGCATGAAAAATAAATGTAGAGTAGACAGCAGGAAAAAAATTGCTGCAGAAAAGACCAGAAAATACTATTCAACTGTAAGCTTTAAAAATTGCTTTTAAATCAAAATGTCAAAAGTAAAATAATACTGTATCATATCAGATTTAAATAATGCTGTCACTATGTTAATAAAAACTTGGCTTTTCAAAAATCTCATTGTATTAAAACTTGATAAAGGTTTTGAGAAACTGTTTAAGACAATTCTATTTTATTCCAGTCAACATAAATATGTTAGAAGTTAATTTTATTTCATTCCTTCACTCCTTTCCCACGTAAATTTTTAATATAAAACATCTGACTTGTGGATAGTGAGGCGATAGTTACCTCTGAAAAACTAAGCATTTACTTTGATAGTAAATAAAACCAATGAACAGTATATGAGTCAATAAATGTAAGAAGGAAGGTGAAGTGTGTTTCACCATTATGACCCAGGACTATAAATATATTATGAAAATCTCTTCAAGTCTCGTGTGCTCCAAAATTTCCATTACTATCCATAGCAATGTGACTGTTTACAAATTAGGATTTACAATATTAAACCTCTGATAATCATCAATATATATTTGGAGTTTTAGAATAAAAAGGGCATATAGTATTTCAGGAGTGGTCAAAAAACATGGAGCGATGATTATTCATTGACAGACTAGAAATGTTGACAAACCCTAACTTGTGTCTTACACCAGTGGAAAAAAAATAGAATAGGAACTTTCAACAATATAATCAATGTCATATATTAAGGTATAAAAGAATCCCTATGGGCAAAACAAACAGATAAATATAATACTTTAAAAAACCTGTTTTCATTTTAAACTTTTGAGGTTATAAAGAGTAATCCAGTGTCTGAACTGGAAGATACCTGAACAGCTGTAACATCAAATTATACCCAAAAAAATATAATCAGTGTGGATTTTCATGATTTGTAGCCACTGCAGTATTTGATGAGCATTATATTGTGACGCAAAAGTATGCTCCAAAACCAAGAAAATACTGCAGGAAAATACAAAATGCTTTTTGCACGAGCAGAGGTCATTACCTGATGCTTTCCATGTTTTAAAAGAATATATTTTCTTACAGAAAAAAATAAATCATGTCAGATTAAAAATTAAAATCCCCTTTGACCTCAAACTCTTTGATCCAGATTTATTTTTTCTATACTTTCATTACTTTTTACTTTTTTTCTTTGTCAGGACAAATACAAGATGGATACACAGGTAAACCACTTATTAAGATGCTGCAGCTTTACTTAAAACCTAAGGTTAGCAAAGTAAAGTTCTGATTAGATCCACTGAATGGAGAAGCAGCATCACTCTTCATTTTCTGGTTGGTTTTTTGGGCTTATTTTCCTCTCAGTTGTTTAGACTGTGCCATTACGTGCGATGGAGAAAAAGTACACATAGTGACTACTCTTTGTGAAAAGTGACAAAGTAATATATAGCACTAGTAAGCTGAATATACTTATTTATCTGCTCTCTGTGCTGTCCTTGCGAGCAGCACATATTATCTACCAACAATACATGCATATATGCACTCATACATAAAAAGGAAAAAGTGTGAAAGTATTATGCAGAGCACATGAAGAATTTACTATAACCAATACCTCAGTTACTTGGAACTACGATTTGAGTAAATACGGATACCTCTGTGCTGCTCCAGGTTTAGCACTTAGGTGGTCTACACTGTCCTGTTTTGGAATGCAAGATGCCAGCGTCCTTGTTCTTCACGAAATGTGGAAGCATGGATGTGAATTAGGACAGAATGAGCAGAAACAGAGAGATGATCACATGCAGTGAAGGTGGAGACACGCAGTCAAACAGATAAACCAAACGCATTAAGGCACTATCTGCTGAGAAAGATAATATTTCTCATTTCCCCTTCTGTTGATTTACTCCATACACGTTAAGGAAATGTTGAAATTTTTAGACATAACAGCAAGAATTTAAGATGCAACAAAGAACGAAAGCCACAACATTTTTTAAAAAAATCTTTATACTCCACATGCTGAAAGGCAGCACTGTGGCTTAATAGTTGCCATCATCCTTCTTGATAATTAATCCACAGTATTACTCATCAGGTTACTATATAAACCTATACAGTACATCTTCTCTTAGGAACTTGAAAAAATGTGTATTTTGTCATTACATTGTGAAATTCTTCTGCAAATGCAAGAAAAGGTCATAATTTCACATATTTTGATGAAAAAGAATATTCTGTTGCCAGCTACAGTATTAATTAACAACAATTCAATAGTCAAGTAGAATAGCGAAATCAGTTTTTAAAAAAATCAAATCAAGTTCAGAATATTTCGTAATTTCTCTATTATTTTCATTTTTGCTGAAGCTGTTTAAGAACCTCAAAATTTATTCACAGCTTTCAGTCTGCATGAATATTATTAGCTTGTTGGTTTATTGTAATTTTTTTATGGAATATGTAGTAATTTATTTTTTGTTCTTGTAAGGTGTATCAATGTAAGATTTTTTTTTTTCAAATATCAAACTTGGCTTTTAATGAGAAAACTCAGCAAAAGTTGCAACCCAGTAATAATCTAGGATATGTAATAAATTTGCATCTATACTTCCATTATGGTGAGAAAATGCTAAAACTTCTCTTAAGGTCATAAATCTACCGTCATACCAAATCATAAAATGATAAAATAAAACTTGTAAATAAGGCCTTGTTATATATACAGACAAGCACTCTTCATACATTATTTTATATACAGACAAGATATTCACAGTTCATGTTTTAAAGACCCATGTGCCTCAAAATATTTATCACTGTTGAGCGTCAACAAAATCTACACACAGATATATTGTAATATTCCTATCAAAATTTAAAATGACTGTTCCTAAAGTAACAAAATAATAGTTTTATAAAATTCAGTATCTAACAATTAAAATTATTTATTACTGGCTTGTACAAGAGACCTAAGTGGTTTGCAGTGAATCTGTTCATTACGTAGTCTTAAAGCCATCAAGACTGTTCAATACTTCCTGATTTTCCCTGAAGATTTTAGAAAGGCTGGAGCTACACAGTATGGGAGCTGGGAGGTTACAACTACTCTGATGGCTTGGCAGCTCCTCAAACTCCGTCCTAACACTTCAATTCATGTCTTACAAAACTGCCTCCCTTATCTAGTCACATAATGTTGCCAGAAAGACAGGAAAGGATCTGAATAAAATTCCCACCTACCATTAAATGGTCAACTTTTATTCTCCTTGTTTTTGTCATCACTTACCATTTCCCAATTTCTCAGTCCTTCAGTTACCAGAAAGTCTTCCACTTTGGGCAGACTTTCTAATTCTGATTTCTAATGTGAAAATCAGAAAACCTCCCAGCAATGAAGCTATCAAATTCAAAGAAAAAACTATTCTTTAAAATGTCTAAAAGAAATATATGAAACTAACCAAACAGTTGTTAATTCTTATCAAGGAAATAAGACATAACATATCTTCATCTTGTCAAGGTATATCAAGGAGTCACTTCTTCTGACATGGCAAGTAAACAAATCCCAGAATAAGAACAGTCTTGCCAAGAACTCTGCTATAATTTATATTACTAATCATTTGCAATTTAACTGCAAAATAGCAAAAACTGAATTTAAATTATTGATATTAGAAATAATGCATGTCATATTTAAGAAATGTACTCAGAAATATATCTCCTTGATTCCACTCAACGTGCAAATTGGGTCAATTTCTAAGATAAATCTGGAATGTACTCAAATGAAGAGTAAACTGACATCTGTCAAAGTCAATTAATCTATTAATTTGAAAATTAATTAATTTGAATTGTCACTGTCAATTAATTTGAAAGCAGTGATAAGCAGTCAGTTACCTCTGCTGATCCATCAGATGCTGAAACCCATTGCATCAGTTGTCAGATTGACACAAGCACATCTTAAAAAGCCCATAAATTATAGAATTAAGTAGTGTTGGCCAGCTGTCAAAGCTATGGGAAATATCAGAATGAATGTAAACTTAAAGAGTAGAAACCAAAGGTAAATCACCTTTGAGTCCCTCACTGATACTCTCTCTACACGCAAGATGGGCCATTATTTTCTATTGGGCATGCGATGCAAGGAACCCAATATCCTCCAAACTCCTCTTAATCTGGGAGAAAGATCCGGGAACTGGGAGACTGCAACCCATCATCCCAATTTGGGTTGGCCTAAACTCCTTCCTAGTTTGATCACTGACTGCATCACTGGGATTTGGGGACCGCATTACCTGCCTCTGATTTCACGGAGAAAATTAAACATTTTCTCCAACTGAAAAATCTTTCCCATAACAGATTTTATATCCTACAGTTGCTTTACTGTAATATTTTTGCCAAGAGGCATTAGATGACTTCAGTCTTTCTCCACAAAACTTCAGCTGACATCAAAAGGTGTACAGTTCTGCATTAAGAATGGCAGTATTTAGATGAAAACCTCATTTCACTGACGTGTGATATGATTAGGATTTAATTCTAATCACTTTAAAGACAACAAGATTTTATCAAGTCTGACCCACTGAAGTCAAAGACTGTCTTTCCACCGACTTTAAAAATGGGAGGTGAAATTACTTAAAAATGCCTAAAAGATACAAAGTACATTTGTCAACTATTAATAGCTGCCCCATTGAAGGAATGTATCAGGAAAATTTCTAGCAATGCAGTATCTA